TCACTTCCAATAATACTTGTTGGTTCTTTATCTGGAGGCCAATTACCTGTAAAGGCCCAAATGGTCCTTTTTACCCCACCCACATGTGAACTTTTATAGAGGTTGTAAAAAACTGTTGAATCTAACTTAAAAATAAAATTGCATCTTATAAAACATTTAAATAACGTATGCTTACCGAGTTATTTTCTACCCTTGAATTACCAATCAAAATATCAATTTTGCAACCATAATTTAAAAAAAGACCAATTGAATGAAGAGTATTAAAAAATTAATCGGAGATGATTAAACTATTCAAATAATAATGTTTCATTTTTTATATAATTAGTAAATCAATTTCTAAATCAAAATCATGTATTGTAAATATCAATTTAACAGTCAACCTATAAAATCAGATTCTGTAACCGATTTATTTAAAAAACAACCGCATTCACTTACAAAGGACTTTCAAAATGAATTTACGATCGCAGTCAAGAATACAACAAACAACTCAGTTTACTCTCGACAGATACTTCAATTTGAACTCCTGTAAAATCATTCCTGTAGCTATCCCTTCCCAATCAGCCGTACATGTTCGGTTTAATTAAAATAAATAAATGTTGACTATCCAATCGCAAATAACGAGCAGCCTGTGGCTAATGGAAAACTTTAAGCGGAGAGTGCAAACCCACTGCAGGACAGGTACGCAGCTGTACAAAAGCCATTAAACTGTACACAGATATGCTCCTAAACGAAATAATCACACTAATACTACAGATATGCTGCTATTTCTTCATGTATTCCGAGGGAATGACTCAGAATTGAAGAGAGAATTTTAATAAATTAATCATTCAAAAATATATATGGAAGCACATGGCACTGTGCCCTAAGACAGATTGCTCTAAATTTCCGTATTGTGAACAAATTTTAGACAAATAAGTAATATTTACAAAAAAAAAAGATTTTTTGTTGAACGGTAAGTATGTGTTCTAACTGTTGTGTCTGATTAGGTTTCTGGATCAATTTCCCCCTATAGCCCTGTCATTATATTAAGTTTACTTCGGAATTCGAGAAACCCAGCTGTAAGTCTGTAAATTTAGCAAGGCAAGTTATGGTAATTTAAGTTTAAATTAGGTAAAAATCTCGGAATTCGAGATATCCAGATGTAAGTCTGTAAATACTTGTATATTGACACCTAAAAGTTGTCTCAAAACCTACATATGTTGCGTACATCCTACCATATGTAGCTTTTGAGACAACTTTGAGGTGTCAATATACAAGTATTTACAGACTTACATCTGGATATCTTGAATTCCGAGATTTTTACCTAATTTAAACCTAAATTACTGTAGCTTGCCCTACGGAAAGTTAATAACTGGACTATAGTACAAAATAATAGTGAAATATGCTTTCACTTGAATATAAAAATTGAAATACGATTTTATGTGGACATTACTGCAATATCACAAATAGAAAGAAAGACATTTTGGGTTGTCTTCTAGGTTAAATATACTTACAAATACTGATAAAAAAGATTTGACTAAATGAGATACAGGTAATCCCCGCATAACACGGTACTTCACAGTTTAAGAATTAAGACCATCCCTCTCATAATACGGTATTTTTAAAGCACGGGTTCGCTATAACACGGTTTGAGAACCTATAAAAATTAAACTTTATCTAATCTAAAAATAGTAAAATCGTCGTACAACAGCTCAATAAATGTGATAAAACTAGTGCAACAAATGAGTAATTCAATATTTATTATTCAAGCTCGTACGTTCTATCAAAAAAAAATCTAGGATTATCCGAACAACATATTTCATATTTCTTGAACAAAGATTCTTTAAAAAAAATGAGCACAAAAGTTTAAAAAAGATATCTTTGCATGTGTTAAATATATACATTTTATTTTGCTAAAAGCAAGTAATCGCAAATATAATTGCCAGTGTCTGGTGTCTTGGGGTTTAAACTTTTCTGTACAAATAAAATAGTGCATCACATCACAAGTCAAATATAAAGTATACTCGTCGTATTTAGTACGAATCTCTTCATTTGTTCTTTCAGTACTTCAACCCTAAAACTACAAAAAGCTTATAATAAAAAGAAGCAACAAAGAGCTATCATCAAATTATCTCTGGTTTACTATTCCTTTACGAGTCGCCGCTCCCAACATTCGCCATAAAAATAATCAAAAACTAATTAAAGCTAAAACAAACATTATACTCAATAATCTAGTGCTATATAATATCAATCACAATTCCAATAAATAAGCCACGATCAGATTATATAAATCACCGATTGCATTCGATAGCTAGTAATTGCCTGTCAAATGTGATGTGCAATTTTCAATACTGTCGAATCGCACTTCCTGCCTTTGCTGAGCCAGAATGATAAATAGTGCAAAATGGAATTTGTAATAAATTTCGCAAACACATTGTTTTTTAATCCTTTCTCAAATCAATTATTGGTTTAATCAAATATCCGAACAAGAATCAATAATAGATAGAGAAGATATGGATATAAATGAAAAATTAAAGTAATAAATTATTAAAGTAAATTTAATTAGAAAAATACGACTAAATAAAGCTTAAAATCCCAAGACTAAATCGTTGGATTACACAGGTCGACAAAATAAAAAAAGTTGTCTGTATTGGGTGAGCGGTATATGTTTGCCAATGTAATTTTAGCGCTGACCCCGAATCTAAATTCAAAATTAGAGATAAAATGAAAAAAAATCAAGGAATCGTGTGAAATCCGATCTAGTTATTCTATTTATTCTTCTGCATGCTACTTAATATCTTATAATTTCTTTCGTTTCCGGTATATATTCGGAAGAGACAGGTATATATATTTGGAATTCCGGATTGAACTCATTTTCATTGCAAAAATTAAATAATTTCAACAGAATCTTGCAATTTACATCAACAAATTGTAATATTCAACAATAAGTAATGAAATAACTTGAGTAAAAATTTACACAAAATAAATAATAAAAATAAAAAAATTTCGTGGTAAACACCAAATGACAGTGTAGCTTACATATAAGAAATTCTAATTATAAAATGCTATAACCAATTTTGAATAACAAAACCATACTTTTTTAATATTGTATATTTCCTATTGTATATGAATCAGCAATTTTTTTGGTACTTAGAAAGTCTAAATCGAATGTCAATACTGTGATTGAACGTCCAGGTATGATGGATCATACTTAAATTAACCAAAAATTATATACAAATTTTTCACTAAGAGTGTAATTTACTAGAATTGTAACTACAATGAAACGAGAAGACGTAGAAAAATCTAGAACTAATTTCACATGAATCTTTATACTCATCCAAAACAAATAAATTAATTTTATCCAAATAAACGGAATAAATTTCTAAAACATGATTTGTGCTAAGTTAGCAAGCCAATATGAGAATAAAAATCGGAAGCCAGTAAATTTTTTAATTTTCCGACTTTTCCCATTCATATAAATTATTATTTGTGTAAGGGACTAGGATTTGTGGACTTGTTGACTAAACTAAGCATGCACATAACAGAAAATAGTGATTTATGGAAGACTGTTTGAGAAATCTATATGTGGACAAATATAACTTGATTCTTTAGATTTTGAATATATTTTTAAAAAATCATGCATTTAATTTTATTACGTGATGACCAAAATAGTGCAATGTAGTGCTGATAATCTTATTACTAACTTTCTGAAGAAGTTTATTTTTTTATTACTAACTTTCCTGAAAGAGCATGTTTTCGCCAAAAAAAATCGATTTGCTAATTTTTATTTTCATTCATTCTCTGGTAAAAGATTATATTTGTACACGAGGTTCTGACAAATATTATTCTCGTTAAAATAGTGATAGTGAAATACATGGAATACAACATATGACTTCTTTCTCAAATACATTTTAACCATTAATTTTTTAAATGGCATCGAGTCTTCAGATAAAATATTCGATATAAACTCAACGGAGACATAAATAATTATGTTATAATAATAGTTAAGAATATAAAAAAATAAATCAATTATCCATAATATTCAGAAAAATCTAAGCGTGGCTTTCAAGCTTTCGAGCTTTCGCCAGTACCAACTTTTTCAACTCCCGCCATTCATTTAACTCAGCAGTTTGGCGTGAGTCTCGCGTATTAATCACGTCAATAGAACTTTTCTGATAAATATTATTTCCTTACGAAGTAATGCATTAGTAGAAACTATTTCCATAAAACACTTATAAATCTTTTGTATTCATATCAGAATGAGATATGGTATCATAACATGGATTTATTCGCGTAACGAGCGCAACAACTCGCGAATAGAAGTGGCAAGATGTAAATAATGGAAAATAATCGATGTTAAATTTGTCGTCGATCTTAAAAATTAGATTAGACTTTATATTCGACAAAACAAAATCTATAACTGCGGGCAAATCTATAACTCGTAATTTAAGAAGGAACCAAATAAGCAATTAAAGTGTGGGTAAACTATGAAACTTTATGCAAAAAATGTGTTTTTTTTCCTTTATATAATTTTTTTCTTTATAATTATATACATAATTTTTCCAAATAGTAGCATATTTATTGAATCATTTTTATAACTTTTAATATAAATAATTTGACATAAAAACTAATCAAAATATGACAAAATTTCTTGCTAACAAATTGATCATCATCACAAGATACTAGTTAGTCGATCAGAGGCTTTAATATTGAGAGCCCAAAATTAAGTTAAATTAAAAAGATGTTGTCTAGATCATTAAAAATCATTCTGATAACTAGAGGAAAGAATTTGATGAACGTATCGAAAATGTAAAAGTTCACTTCACTAAATGGAATTACTTCTGTTACATTGTAACTACGATATCATGTGTTTCTATAGTTTAAAAATTACTTCATTTAGAAAAAATAATTTATAATTCTCAGATGTGATATGAAAATAATGCACTTTATGTAATACATACTAAAATGAATAAATCATATACGTTTATAATTGCTTTTGTGAAAAAAAATGAATGCTTTACCTTGTTGTGAAACGCTGTTAAGTAATGAATCAATGAAGGATAGTTTCTTACCTGAAAATAAAAAAAAAATACATATAATACTTAGCACATTATTAGAATTTTACTATAAAAAAAATTAAATCTAAATTTATATTCGAAACTTTATTTAAGCATTAATCCTCATGGACCAGCACACCTTTCAAGTTACATACCAATTTTTTTATATTTTACCAAATAATTATGGACCTTTTCATGAGATGACGCAAAAATCTAATTTTAAGTTCTATAACATTGTTAAGACAATCAATATCAATATTCATGACCTTTTCATTAACATTTTCATACACATACATAAGTGGAAACTTAATAGGCCGCATCAATAGACTTGAAAAAGCCACATAATAATTCATAAATCTCAAAAATTTTGTTTAGAAAGATTTTTGTATTGATCATTTGCATATATAAGCCCAAAAATACTGATCTTATTTTTTTATGTTAAATAAAAGTTTGGGTCATAGAGAGTAGATAGTTCTAAACATATTGGTAAAGCATACATAAAATAATTATTTTAACAATTACATAATATCTCTTGGTCAACCACAAATATACAGCATAGTTAATAAATATAGTTATTAAAATGTATTAATATTAAAATGTAAATACAAATGTCAATTGTACTAGAATATTGGAATACCGAAACGAATTTATGTTATGATAATATTTTATGACTGACATAATAATTTGCATGCAAATTACTCTCACACTCAGCGGGAGTATCATGTTATAGTTTACAATTTTTTTTTTTTTTTTTTTCTGTTAATTTTAACAATCAGATTACAATACAATCTATAAGTTAAAAGTTATGGTATTGAAAATCAAAATCAAAAAGAAAAAAAAAATAGAATAAAGGAAATTAAAGAAAAGAAATAGAATAAATGAATGAATAAATAATAATTAAAATAATAGTATTAATAATAAAAACGATAATCAATAATAAATAATAATTAAAAATAACTTGTTTGAAAATTTTCCTGTGCGAAACAGGGAAATTATGTTGTTGACGGTAGATCGCTGGGCCATTTTCTTTTCAGGCGTTTTAATTTTTCGGCTGTTTGTACTATTTGCATTTCCGGATTGACGTGTGCATCCAATTTGTTTTGAAAGATGAAACTTCTGTTCTTAATAACTTCCGCCACTGTTGGAATTTTTACAATTAGTTTACAAATAAACATTCAAATATATGAATGAATTTCAAATAAACTGCCTATGATGAAGTTGTGCGAAGTGCTATGTATATCATTACAACGACCACATGATGTCAGTTTTATATTTTCTAAATCCTAACAAAATCGTTTCTAAACCACGACCTACATTCGCAGCTGCGTCAAACAAAAAGCCGCGGAGCAAACAATTCGCAAACATTAAAGTAATTGCCATCACAAAATCGTGCGTTAAAACCAATGGCCAGAAAGAGCGTTTCATTTTAAATGCCCCAGGGACGAATACAACACACCCAGGACGAATGACATAAGAGCTGGTGCACTTCAAATTTTACAGAAAAAATTAGACAATAATTATAATAAAAGCTTGCCCGTAAGAACTTACGTTAGAGCGATGAGATTTGATTCAGAGGTCCTGATTTGATTGAATCAGAAAGCCTGATGTTTAGCTGTAAGGACATTAGTACTCACTTGAAAACACAGATAGCAATGTTACCAAGTAAAACTAGACAATTTTTACAATAATGAACTTGACAATTTTTGTATTTAAAAACCTTAATTATATCCTTTTTAGTGTGTCACTTTATTAAATCATCCATACTATTTCACCGAATAGTTTTTAAAAAATAACTTTTTTTTAAGGTATTAAAACATTTTTAATTCTTTTATTTTGAGTTTTTAACTACGATACCAAAAATTTCAGCAATTTTCCTTAAAGCAGAATGCCATGAACCACTAGTTGAATTATTCAAATCGGTTGATCCGTGCTCTCAAATTTGCGGACAAAAAATTGCATCCATACCTACACATCCATTTTTTTAGGTATGCCAAAATATTCAGAAACCTCTAAAACGTTGAGATATGCAAACATTTTTATTTTCGATTTTCTTGCGATTACCATAACTTCGCCTACAGTAAGTTAATAAAAAAAGAGGCGTCAAATTTAAAATAACCGATTTAGATGTCATCGGTTCTGTACCAAGTGTAAACCATCCAATATTTTCCTAACATATGTCCTTAGTTTTGATCTCTAAAAACATCAATAATTTTTTTTTAAAAGGTAGCCACACTTTTAAAACACACTTCGAAAAGTTTCTATTAATATCCTATGAAAATCTTAGCCATGATATGAAAAGAATTATTTATACGTATGTAAAAATCTCCTTTACTTTGACTCAGACTATTAAGTTATAATTTAACCTTTGCAACTGTGTGGACTGCATAAAACACTGATTTATTATTATAATTTATGTATTTGCTGTAAGTTCTTATTTCAATTAACGATTTGTCACTAAATACTGCTTGATCAAAAATTGTATATATTTATTACTTATTTAGTTTAGACTTTAGTTTTGAAAGTAAAAAGTAATTCTGATCTAACTCTGTGCTACCCTGTCTCTGGGTTAGCAACTTTCCAGTACAAAAGCTCAATGCCATGAAGATAGCTGCATTCACGGCCAATGATAAAAATACATTCGAACGATTACTTATATAGTTAAAACTTTTAAGCATATGCCAAAAAAGTAAATTTATTATTTCATTAACTTCCCGTAGGGTAAGTTATTGTAATCGTCAAAAAATCAAAATTTTTTTTGCATATCTTCACGTTTTAGAGGTTTCTGAACATTTTGGCATACCTTAGAAAAAATAGATGTAATGTGGAAACAATTTTTCGTCGACGTCTTCGGGAGTACTTCTCAACCGATTTAATAATTCAAAAAAAAAAACAATAGATTCCTATTCCTAGGGAAATACCAAGCAAAGAGTGCAGAAAATAGAAATCAATATTTTGAGAGAATAGGGTATCCGATTTGAATGATTCAAGAAACATTAAATTCGTATGGAAGACAAGAAGAAGTGATTAATTTTTGGCAAAGACAGGCCAAGCCGTTTAAGAGATAATGAGTGAAAAATATAAACAAGTACATTTTTTGAGAGAACAAAGCATCCGGTTCCAATCATTCAAAAAACGTTTTGTTGTGAAGGAACGATCAGTGTTTGAGGTAAGAAACAAAATATTTAAAAAATATAAGAACATCAAAAATTATTCGGATTTGAATTTTGCCTTAAGGCACGATGCCATGCACCACTCATTAATTATATCATTTCAGCTTATGAAACCATAAATTGTTGACGGGCACCCTTCCTAAGCAAAGCACACACAGAGACTGGTAATTATTCAGCCGAATAAATTAATATTTGAATCGTCCTTTTGACACGGCCGTTTTATCAGCGCAAAACAATTCCGCACGTCACATACGGAGTGATATGGCGCAGTTTCAATAAATGGAACCATCATTGGCGTTGTGTCGGTTAATATTTCGTTGTATGGTCGGTTATATGGACGGTGATTACAAGCGCGACGTGTGAATCGGCCTGCAAATTTTAATGCATATAAACGATTATGATACCGTAAAATTACGATGGATTTAGCCCCGCAAATTGCTTTCACAGCATTCGAATATTAATCATACTAGTTTGATAGTTCTGCGAAGCTCGCTGGTGGTGCCGATGGTGATTTTGACACGGATCGTGTAGTTTTGTTATAATTAATAGATATAACATGCACTGTATTAAAATAATGTATTGGCGCATTAACGGCTAAATGAGATTTAGAGATATTTATATTAAATCTGACATCATATGAGAAATAATAATTATTAACAATATATACAATATATATAATGTATCACATTTGAACTAATAATAGAAACGCATTTCATTTCGTTTCATGTTTTATAGAATATTTCTATCACATTCTTTATAATATTGTTTCATATTGCTTTAGGTAATAATTTGTTTGTTTTTATTTACTTTTCCGATTTATATTAAACAAATGATTTTTCTATTATTTAGGGTAGAGAGGAACTTAAAGGTCCGCAAGGAAAATGGTACACAACCGATATCTCAACAACAAGTTAAGTTAAGAGCTTTTTAACAACAATATTTGAAAGTAGAGAACAAAAGATGTTAACCAACCATCATCTTGATTGTAACGACGTTGCTATTGAAAGATAAACGTCAATGTTTAAAAATCCTTAACGGAAGTATTTTCTTTCGTAATTAGTTTTTTTTTGGTTGTGAGACCTTAATATAATTTTTAAGTATACTTCATATAACTGTTTCATAAGAAGTGTTAATTTTAAGTTAGATTCAACAGTTTTTAATAACAGAAATTAGATCAGATCTTTAAAACAATTTACTGGCTACTAAATAAAAACTCTGAACTCTCAGTTTACAATAAACTGTTAATATACAAGGTGGTACTCAAGCCCATATAGACCTACGGTCTCCAACTTTGGGGTACAGCAAAAAAAGCAATCTAAACATCATCTAACGTGCTCAAAACAAAATCCTGAGGCAAATATTAAACGCTCCTCGCTACACCCCTACATGGATCATCCATCAAGACACAGGCTTGCTCACAATAGAGGAACAAAATTCAGTGGTTGCTTATAAATATAAAAATAGGATTGACGTACATATCAATGAATTGGCTTAGTTTTATTTTTTTTCAGATTTGATAGTTTGTTTTTCTTATCGTTTTGTTTTTTTCTCTCTTTCTTTTCTTTTTTATTTTTTTTATTAATATGTGTTATATATACCTAGTAGACACGCCACTGGGTGTTGCTACAATCTTCTGGTTTATATTGTAAGATAATGCTTGTTAGCAATCTCTGCTTAATGTTAATGCTCATGTAAAACAGATTGCAGAATAAATTAAATAAAAAATAAAGATTCAACAGTTTTTAATATAACCTCTTACACGTGGAAACATGGGAACGTGGAAAAAAAAACCAACTAAACTCTTATTCTGGCAAAGGTGTAAATAATAAAAAATAGTAAATAAAA